ATATAGTCTATAAGAACATACTAAGATGTGTTTGACAGGTATTCCGCTAAAAGCATTTGCTGTGTCATTAAATCCATATGGTCCGTTCAAGGTGTTGTTGTAACTACGCATCTCTAAGGCATCTTATTACAAGTCACTACTAAGTTCGTGTTCCTACCAGCCTCTTCCCAAGCAACCTCTTCCCAGACTCGCGTGCTACAGTGCCGCAATTTTTTACGCGAAATGTTTCAGTGCAATCCACGAAGTGCGAAGTGAGATTCGCATTCCCGAGATTCAGGGGCGTGTTTCAAAACCTCTTTCAGACGAGCAGATTTTCATACTAGCGCGAATCTGCACCGTAAATTTTCAGCCCCAGGTGGTTTTATGTGGTTGAGAGCGGTGGAACGCAAATATGAAACGGGAGTATTCCGAAAAGTGATCCTGAGAACACGCTCTCAAGGTCGCGCGTGAGTCTGGGAAGAGGCTGCCTGGAAGAGGCTCGTAGGAACACGCTCTAAGTTCAAAACTCAAGTCAAGGTGGGTACAAGAACTTTGGGTGAAGACATATTGCGATGGAATCTCATGGGGGGGAGCGTACGCACCAGTGAAGCTGCAAATTCATGGGGTTGATAGAAAAAACTAGCAATATTCACAGTTGTGATAGGGACTAGATTCACGCCCACATCCAGCATTCTACAGTTATGGAGTGATCATCACGGAACCAGGCTTGTCGTTATCAGGGTATTTTACCCTGATTCTCTGATTTCAGTGGGTTTTTTTTTTCCAACCCTTAATTTTCATGGTTGGGCGTTTTTTAAACCCTACCCTCTTCAGGGTTGTATGTTTGTGAACACTTGGGATTTCAGGGTTTGCGTTATCCCAAAACTGAGTTTTCAGGGAGTAACGCGTACGAACCTTGAATACGACATCCATGCGGACCATGAGTTTCGGCGAAATGACATCTTTACGCGTGACGGGTCCCAGGCCCATGAATACGACCAGCAGACGTCACGTGGAGAATCTGCACTTGGCAACTTTCCCGCCCTGTACACGCTGTATGTTGCCATTTCAACAACATTTCCAACCGTTAAGTATGGGATGGTGCACTCTGTCATGCCCCAGCCTGGCATTCGTGACTCAGCACGCAGCAGACAAGGACAGAAATCGATGCTTTGATAATGGCACATGCGGGAAAATGCTGAGCGCTGTAATGGCAGCCTCTGTATGATATCACCCCGCTAGTCATCTCGATGCATACGATGCCAGCGCAGGTGCGTCCTGCCATCGGACGGTATCGCCATGGCGATGCAGGATCTTGGATGGGTTGTGCACCGTCCATGACAAGTGAAATCTGGGGTTTCTTGGTCCCCTTCCCATCTTCTTCACCAGCCTCTCCTCCAACCCAATTTCCTCCTTTTCTTCACAGTGCAGATGTGAGATGCTCCATTCTTCTTTCTTGTCCACTTTCGTCGTGCCTAGTTCTCGTTTCGATCAACTCCGCCGCTACTAGCTATGGCGGATGTAGGAGAGGCTGGTGAGTCTCCCGCCGACGATGATGGCTCTGGACCAGGTAGGGACCCCCCCGTGGAGGTCCGTAGATCCGCTCTAGATGTCTTGCGGTCTCCCACCGCAGTCGCAATACCGTCACAACCCGTATCTACTCCCGCTCCCTATCTACCTCCGCCCGCTGTCGCTTCATCTAGCCGGGGCCCTTGGGTTCCAGACTGCGAGACAGCCACGACCTTGTGTTACACGGTCGAGTGTGCTTCCACGATTTCATCCAAGAAAAAAAGCACGCATCGGGAAGTACACCCAGAGCACGATAGTCCTCGGCGGGAAGCTACGTCGACCGTCGCCGCCTCGCACGTCGCTTGAACCTAAGGCCCCTACTATTCCTGAATCTGAGCCGCCGAACCTCTCGAAGAAAGAACTCATCGAGCAGAAGTATCTCATGGCTGAGCACAAGTATAACCAGCTGGCTTCCATTTTTCCCTTAGCTTCTGTTAATGAAAACAAAAGTGCAAGGCTTTCGGCAAAGAGACAACACCGTACTCCAACAGCCGCGATGGGGCACGTGACCCGCAGACGCAAGCGATGCGGTTCCACGAACACACGACAGCCCACGAAGCAGCAGTCAAGCGTCAGATGGAGATCGCCAAAGATATCGCCAGCACCCAGAGGCGCATGGAGAATTACGCGCGGACTGACATCGAGGGGAGGCGCGTCATTAGGCTCCTACGTTGCGTCGACTTCCTCTGCAAGTGTGATGCACCCATCAGCATGTACCCGCGGCTACTCCGCTTCATGGCCGAGCAGGAGACCCCATACATTCCGTTGCAGTCTTACGGAGTCTACCTGACACGGTAATGCACTGATTCCAAAAAGACCATATCCTTTATTCATTTAATAGGTCTAACAACCTCCCTGTTGCTACTTCCTACTACTACAGGTATGGCTTTTGTCAGCTCGTCAACAACTTGGCATCCTACCTGCAGCGCCGACAAATGCAACACATTCTCGCCTCACCCTACCTTGGCATCAGCTGCGACGAGAGCACTGACCGTACTCGCGGTAAACATCTCATTGTTTACCTTACCTTCATGTGTGCGCATCGTGTTGTCGCCGAGTTTTTTGCTCTCTTGACCATCGAAAAGTGTGACGTCGCGTCTCTCCTCGCCGTTCTTTCTGGCGCACTTGCGAGCAACAAGCATCGACCTCTCCCGAATCACCGGCATGAGCACCGACGGCGCCTCTGTCATGGTCGGCCGAGACAATGGTCTCGTCGCCCCACTTCGCGAGCACATCCCCTATCTCGTCTCTTCGCACTGCATCGCGCACAGGTTAACCGCTTGTCATTTCTGTCGCTTAGGTTTCCTACAGCTGCTTGACTAAAATTCATGTGTGTGCACCATGCAGGGAAGCCCTGGCGGTGAAGGATGCCGCCACTGCTTCTCCAGAATTCGGCATGGTCGACCTTGTGATTCAGACTTTGGCCGATCTTCTGGGACGTTCATGTGTCTGGAGTCAATGCTTCAAGTACCTGCAGCGGGCAATATGCAACACCAACCTTGAAGTGCAAGGAATTCACACCGTGCGCTGGCTTTCAAGGGGTGAGGCTGTGCGGCGCCTCTGTAAGGTCCTTGGCGCCGCTATTATTCTGTTTCATGAGTACGGGCATGAGCTGTATGAAGTCGTCATCTGTTACAAGTTCCAGTTCTGTCTTTTTTTCCTGGCGGACGTGCTCGGAGTGATGAATGAGCTCAACCTCAAATTCCAGAAGAGGGAGGTGAGCTTCTACCCCTCTGCATGTTATAGTTTTTTTCCCATGCATGCACGTTTGGAATAACCCTCTGACTCCCCTCCCTTGTCTGTCACTTCCACCAGGTCGATGTCACCGAAGTGACGAAGGATATCGACGAGGCGACAGGGGACCTTCGCCACCGCTACCTGGAGTGCGGAGAGGTGTTCGGTGGGGGGGTCAAAGGCATGTGGCTTTCCGGTTTTCTTGGCCGTCTACGGGCACGGAGGGAGCAAGTGCGTAAAGGTGCGGAGCATCGACAAGGACGGCAACCCAGTCACGCACACCTACACCATGCACGAGAAGCAGATCGACGGGCATGCCTTCCGCAGCAAGTACCCCGACTGCGAGTGGCTCTGCGCGCAGTTCGCGAAGGACACGATGACCTTCCTGAAGACGAGGATGCTGGACATGAACAATCTCGCCCCGACGAAGCTCTTCCGCGTGTCGAAGAGGCCCCGGATGAAGCAGCAGAGAGAGAAGAAGCTGAAGGAGTACCTATATGGATGCAGTACCTATTTCGACAACAGGCTACCAGGCTTTTCCTTGCAAGCTGCGCAAAAGGAGCTGGTTACGTGGGCGCCACTGATGCTGAGCCACCATGCCGACGAGGGATTCCATCAAGGCCTGACGAACTACCTGGGCTCGACGGAGTCGAACTTGTGAGTGACTGTTGTTCGAAGGACCTTTGTTGCATGTCTTTGGGCCGCTTCTAATCTTCCCCTTGGAACTCTGACGAGTAACAGGCGCACAACCAGATGTTGTTTATCGCTTGTTGACTAGTTGCACGAATGCACTGGTCTTGTTCTCTGCACTCTGTTCCCCCAACCCTTTTGGCAGGCGATGGCCCAACCTGATGCGCTTGTGGAAAGAGTGCACTATCCTGCCGCTTAGCACAGTGGAGTGTGAACAAGGCTTCTCACGGCAGAACGTCATCAAGTCATGGGTGCGGGGCGCGTTGTGCAATGCGCGCCTCAGCGAGCTGATGGTCATTTCCCTGCTGTAGTATGAGATTGATTGGGACGAGGCCCTTGAGTGTTGGCGCGAGAAGCTGAGGCGCCCTGCTAAGTCTGCTCTGTTTGCCTCAGCGGAGAGGAAGCGTAAGGCCAAGGCGATGGAGGGGGCAGGACGGAGGGTGGAGGAGGAAGTTCCTGCCTACATGGGGGATTGGGCAGAGGATGAGGGAGAGGAGGGGGTAGAGGGGGGAGAGGCTCCTGTGGTGGAAGACAACCCGTTTCTGTCCAACGACGAGGCAGAGGACGAAGTGAACATGGATGGCCCAGAATTTTAGACAAGGGTAGCTAGTGGCGTGGAATCTTGTGAAGTCTACGTAGAGGACTGAACTGAATCTGTAGACTGGCGTAGTGGTGCTTTTTCCTCTCCTAACGTTCTCTTAGTTGATTTTTTGCAAGTGCAATGCAACCCTGTTTGTGGCTAGCCAACCCTGGAGGTTTCAGGGTTGCATTTTCCAGAACACTGAGAAACCAGGGTAGCCAAAATTTCAACACAAGGCCCTCAGGGTAAAAAAAAATCCCATTCGACAGCTCAGGGGGATTTTTTTTAAAACGTCAGCCCTGCACGGAACAAAGAACGTGGTTTATAAATATGATTCAGCAATACAATTCAATGTTTGACCTGCCGAGCAATGCAGCAAAACGTTAGCAAGATTCTGTGCAACCTCTGGAGCTCGGCCAGAATGGCAACTGTGCATCTGGGCCGCACATGCAGAGATGGTATTCCGCTAAAAGCATTTACTGTGTCATTAAATCCGTATGCTCCGTTCAAGGTGCTGTTGTAACTACGCATATCCAAATCCCCATCATTATCAAGAAAGGTCTCTGCAAATGCACCCTCCTCTCCCAAAGCCCCAGATATGTTGGCGAAGCCCCAAGGCTTGAGCTGATGAGAATGGGGGACTGTATATGAGCCTGTCTCAGCGGGTGTGGTAGCGGGCGGGGCAATGAGAGTGCAGGAAAGTGAGCATGCTTGAACCGCTCACGACTGTTCAGTTGGTACTGCAGCTGAGAAACTCCCTCCCCAACCTCCACCCCCTCCACACCTCCCTCCCCAGTCCCCCTTTGTTCCAGCAGCCTCGCTGCCAGGCCTGGCTCAGGAAGAGAGGCCGCAAGCGCCCGTCGCTGAGGCCCACTCGCCAAGGGCACACCAGTGGGGCCACGCCCAGCCAAGCACAGGACAGAGACGGGCGCGTCGATAAACAAGGAGTCCGTTTCTTGCCCCACGTTGCAAGAGCCGATTGCCGAGGGCAGCTCCTGTCCTCTATTGCTTGCACTGGCAAGGGGCGTCCCTCCAACACAGGAGTTCATTCCAGCAGAAACTGAACCCGCCAGAGCAGTGAGTTGGATGGGCGGTGGCGCTGACAGCGCTGCTCCTCCTGAACCCATGTCAGGCCACATCATGCGCTGCACTCTCCTCCACCTCCTCTCCAGCTGCCCATGCTCCTCCAGCAGAAGGGCTCTCCCCGACTCCACGCGAGGCCACACCACCTGCTGCACTCCGCTCCTCTCCCCTCCCTGCTGCACACAGTGTGTGTCCAATGCGTCCGCATGCCCCAGCGCAGGGCCCAGAGACCCGAATACAGGTCGGCCCAACAGATGTGGGACCTCCAAAGGCCCGCTCCAGTCGCCTCTGGGTCGCTTCATGGGCAGGCTGAGAGCAGCTGCGCCGGGGCGGATGACGTTATTCACTGCCGCAGCATCGCAGGCAGCAGCAGGACTGGAGACGGCAGCAGCATTGGCGGATTGTGGGGCGTCGGTCATTGAAGACAGTGGCACGCGGCATGCAACGCTGAAGGCAGAAGCATTGGGTGCGGCGGCACTGAAGGTGGCAGCATGGGAGGCAGCGCCATGGGAGGCAGCGCCATGGGAGGCAGCGCCATGGGAGGCAGCGCCATGGGAGGCAGCGCCATGGGAGGCAGCGGCATGGGAGGCAGTGGCATGGGAGGCAGCGCCATGGGAGGCAGTGGCAGACGCGAAAGCAGACGAGAGGTCGGCTTGAGCTGTTGGGCGGCGGGCATTGGGTGAGAGGAAGACGCCCCTGCACTCATCAAACGACAGCCCACCGAAAGTAAGAGCAGGCGACAGGGACCCGGGTGAACCCACACCAACCTGCTGCTGCTGCTGCTGCTGCTGCTGCTGCTGCTGCTGCTGCTGCTGCTGCTGCTGCTGCTGCTGCTGCTGCTGCTGCTGCTGCTGCTGCTGCTGCTGCTGCTGCTGCTGCTGCTGCTGCTGCTGCTGCTGCTGCTGCTGCTGCTGCTGCTGCTGCTGCTGCTGCTGCTGCTGCTGCTGCTGCTGCTGCTGCTGCTGCTGCTGCTGCTGCTGCTGCTGCTGCTGCTGCTGCTGCTGCTGCTGGCTGCTGCTGCTGCTGCTGCTGCTGCTGCTGCTGCTGCTGCTGCTGCTGCTGCTGCTGCTGCTGCTGCTGCTGCTGCTGCTGCTGCTGCTGCTGCTGCTGGGTGTGCCGTGGCAACTGATGGTAGCGCTCCGCAGCAATGAGCTGCGGATGTGCACTGCCTCCCAAGTGCTCCCTCAGAAGGCTCTCCTGAAAGCGCTGAACGAACTTCCTGCCGCCACCAGCACATGGCCAAAGAAGAGAGCAATTCAAGAAGCTCGGCCATGTTTGGAAACTTGAACTCCGAAAACAATTGTGGTAAACAGGGTTACCTTCTGAGGAAGATGTAACGGTTACAGCACGACTTGTTGTTTCTCTTCAGCTGACCGCTCCTCCCCAACTCTCCCCACTGCCTCGTGCCGCAATGCAGTGCATGGCGCAGCAGAACCGCGTCCTCCTGCCGTGTGCGGGTGAGCGGGGGATGCAATGGTGAGGAAGAATCACAAGAGTGAGAGACAGAATCGGCAGGCTGTTGCTGTGAGAACTGACGGAGAAGGCAGCATGGAGAAGAATCCGGCGGAAGAGAGTGCGAAGAGGCAGACATCCGCCAGGCTGTGCGGCTGAACCACCAAGACCACGCACGTATCGCCTCTCACCTCTGGCACTCACCTCTGGGAACTCGCCTCGGGCGACTCACCTCTGGCGACTCACCTCTGGCGACTCACCTCTGGCGACCCACCTCTGGCGACTCACCTCTGGGGACTCTCCTCTGGCGACTCACCTCTGGCGACTCACCTCTGGCGACTCACCTCTGGCGACTCACCTCTGGCGACTCACCTCTGGCGACTCACCTCTGGCGACTCACCTCTGGGGACTCACCTCTGGCGACTCACCTCTGGCGACTCACCTCTGGCGACTCACCTCTGGGGACTCACCTCTGGCGACTCACCTCTGGCGACTCACCTCTGGCGACTCACCTCTGGCGACTCACCTCTGGCGACTCACCTCTGGGGACTCACCTCGGGCGACCAGGGCCGAATGGAGATCGGGGAGGACGGGGACGCGGATCCCGTGATCGCTTCCGAGGAACGCGCCATGGCGGCGCAGAGCAGCGCAGTCCGCGTGAAGAAGAGAAGCCCGCGTGAAGAAGAGCAACCCGCGTGAAGAAGAGCAACCCGCGTGAAGAAGAGCAAACCCGCGTGAAGAAGAGCAACCCGCGTGAAGAAGAGCAGCCCGCGTGAAGAAGAGCAGCCCGCCCTGGGTTTTCCTTGAAGGAGACAATCTCTTCGACTTTGGTTTTTCCCTTGGCAGTCTTGCTTCTCGGAGTAGTTCAATGGCGGACGGACTGAATTGAGTCGCCTAAGTGAAACGAGTATCATCGGAATTCGCCACCGGGGAGACGCCTGAATTCGTCGGACAGGTGGTTCTTTCGAGGAACAGTGCGGAGGCCAACAGTGCGGAGGCCAACAGTGCGGAGACGAACAGTACGGACGCGAAATTTCAGACGAGATATCCCGGGGCTTGCACGCCGAGTCACACGGACTCCGCAGCTTCCGCCGCTTCCGCAAGGGGCGGATGCAGCGTACCCCCGCGCGCGCAGGCGGGACACGGCTGCGGGGGGCTTGATGGGCTCGATGGGCTCGATGGGCTCGATGGGTCGATGGGGTCGATGGGGTCGATGGGGAAGAAGGGACTCCCTCATCGGATGAGGGTCGAGGCGGGTTGGCTTGGCTGCTCTCTCTGCTTTCGCTGATGTGCTGAGTTGACCGCCCATTTCACGACGGTCTCGGCGGGTGGGATTGGGGCGACCTCGCAGACGATTTGGACGTCGCACGAACGTCGCATCCTGCCCGCCCGCAAGGTCCTTCTACTGTAGTCTGGAAGCAGCACGAGGAAAAATCAGTGGCTGGCAGATGACGACTGCAGTAATGGTTGCCGAGTGGCGTCCATTTAAGCACTGTGAATGAATGACCCCCTCGCCCACTGCAAACGCTGGTTCGACATTGTTACGACGCCACTGGGAGATGTAACAGTATCCTTGCTACGCCTGAAAGCTCTCGATCTTTTGGAAGTACATGGTCCTAACAGAGCACGGGAGTCGGCACGTGACGTGACCACACCTACGCCTCCGAGGAAGGATTTTCCCTGGGAGTCCCGCCACGCGAGCGATTTCTGCTAATGTCCAGTCAAGTTCGGCGAGTGGGTATCGAGACCGCGCAGAAACGCCATTGGCAGCAACTGCCAGCTTACTATGCAGCAAGGAACTATAGTGTGGTTGTTGAAGAAATGCAATCTGGGCAGTCAAAGCAAGGAGGAACTAATGATGGCTTGTAGCCTGCGCCAGCGGAGCAACTGACGGGGATGATGATGACGGGTCCTACAGAATGCAGACGGACGTGCAGGCAGTGGAAGACCAGGTCTTGCCTTCCAGGTGTAATAAATGTTCTGTACATACCCGTATTATCCCCGATATAAGACCCATGGGTCTTATCACATACCGTTCAGAAATATTCCAAATGGTCCTGGATCCAGGGGCAAAAAACTGGGTTACCACTAGATAAGCGCCTAAGAGAAGACCCATGGTCTTCTATTACTAGGGGGTCTTATATCCGGGCTTTTACGGGTACACTATATTACATTTCCTTATATAAGCCTTCCTCTATCAAGTAAAGGGCATCTTAGTCAAACGCATTGCAAACCTAGCCAGAATATGCACAAGAGCTTTGAGCAAAGGCACATTGCGAGGGAGTATAAAGAGGGGATGCGTATGTACTAGTGAAGCTGCATATTCTCCTCAGCTCATTGCCACTGTCTGGCATGTCGAACCCCCAACCAATCATGGGCCTCGAAGTGGTTGGCCCCCTAACTTCAAGTACACTTGTCGTGGAACCTCCGTACGAATTAAAGTAGTGGTTCGTCGTGTTGAGATATTCGGAAGCCATGTGAGCTTCCACAGTATCCTGCATCCGAGGTACGGAAGCACCGCCACGATTCCTTAACTCCCCTGGTATATGGATTAAACCCCCATGCACCAGCGAAGTGCCTGGCAGGGAGTGTGGCAAAGATTGCTGCAGTGAGCGTGGCAGCGGGCGCGGCATGAGCGTGCGCATGCGCGAACCCCTTGGGTTCGCAATCATTCGCATGGCACCTTGAGGGGTGTTTGCACAGTCCTTGTGCACTGGCTGCTGGGAATGGAGAGGCTGCAGAAGAGCATGCGGCACTGGCTGCGGCGGTGGGTGTGACAGTGGGTGTGGTAGTGGCTCTTGAAGTGGCTGTGGCGGTACGTGTGGTCGAGGCTGTGGCAGGGACTGGTGCAATGAACACGAGTACATGCGTGCACACACGTGAAGGTCTGGGAACTGCTGCTGCCGCTGCTGCCGCTGCTGCAGGTGATGCTGTGGCTGCTGCTGCAGGTGATGCTGCGGCTGCTGCTGCTGATGGGGGCAGTGCGATTCAGCAACTCCCTCCCCGCTTCCTCGCTGCTCCACCGCCCACTCTGCCATGGCTGCCCCAGCAGCTGGGACTGCCAGCGCCCGTCCCTCAGGCTCACTCACCAAGGGCAGGTGGGAGGGAGCACAGGGGGTGAAGGCGGATGGCAGGGGTGGCACGGGCAGGTGGGCGGCAGGGAAGGAACCAGACAGCCACAGGTGAGGTGGGGACGTGGGAAGCGGAAGAGAGCCCTGGTCTGGCTGGGCTTCTTGCATGAGGAGAGGGAGTTGGTGCACCAAGTGGCACGTGTCGAGAAAGAGAGACCCATTGCGTTGCACCTCGGTGCAGGTGTCAGTCGACGGGGTCAGCTCCTGCCCTCCATCCCAAGCATTGGTGAGGGCAGTCCCTCCGTAGCACCGCCTCACCTTCCCGGGACCACAGCCGGCCAGCACAGCAAGTTGGGTGGACAGCGGCGCTGACAGTGCTGCAGATGGCACGCTGAAGCCAGGGTCCTCGCAGCTGAATGCAGGGTCGTCGCGGCTGAATCCCAGCAGAGGGTCATCCAGCAGAGGGTCATCGAGCAGCGGGGCATCCAGCAGCCGCCCATCCAGCAGGGCGCTCTCTGACTCCACGCGCCCCCACCCCGCTGCCTGCCCCCCGCTCCCCCCTCTTTCCCCCCCCTGCGGCGCACAGAGCTCTTCCAAGGACCGCGAGTGCCGCACCCCCCCACACGCCGCCCCATTCTCAGCTCCGCCCCGCACTGGTGGGTCGGCCCCAAGCCCCGTGCTGCAGCCCTCCCTTGAGCGCTTCTTGGGCACGTCGATGGCAGCTGAGCAGGGGCCGGTCGCTGCACTCACCGCTGCAGCGGCATCGGAGGCAGCAGGGTCGGCGCTCAGAGCTGCGCTCACCACTGCAGGGTCGGCGCTCAGAGCTGCGCTCACCACTGCAGGGTCGGCGCTCAGAGCTGCGCTCACCACTGCAGGGTCGGCGCTCAGAGCTGCGCTCACCACTGCAGGGTCGGCGCTCAGAGCTGCGCCCATCACCTCATAGAAGGCAGCGGTGGCGTCCAGGACAGCAGCGCTGGCTCCAGCAGCAGTGGAGAGAGGAGCGGTAAAGGAGGCAGCAGCATGGGAGGCAGCGGCATGGGAGGCAGCGGCAGAGGCGAAGGCAGACGAGAGGTCGGCTTGGGCTGCTGCTTGGCGGGAATTGGGTGAGAGGAAGACGCTCCTGCACTCATCAAACGACAGCCCACCGAACGCAAGCGCTTGTGGAGGTGACTCAGACGGTCTAGCTGGCTGCTGCTGCTGCTGCTGCTGCTGCTGCTGGCCATGATGTAGGGGCGGACTCTGAGCCATGGGAATGCGGCAGGGGGGTGCGGCGGCGTGCAAGTGTTCCCTCCAGAGGTGCTGCTGAAAGCGGTCGAGGAACTTCCTGCCAGGACCCACCGCAAGGGCGCACAGCGGACGGACGCTCAGCAAAGGCACGTCCTTTAAAGAAGACAGATCTCTGAAATTGATGCGGTGTGCGAGAGGTTACCTTCTGAGGAAGATGTAGCGGTTACAGCACGACTTGTTGTTTCTCTTCAGACGACCGCTCCTTCCCAGCGCTCCCCACCGCCTCGTGCCGCAATGCAGCGCATGGCGCAGCAGAACCGCGTCCTCCTGCCGTGAGTGAGTGAGGGAGTGAGTGGGGAGGCAACGATGAGAAAGAATCACACGAGTGCAAAGACAACCGTCTTGAAGCTGGGGGCGCAGCAGAACCACGTCCTCCTGCGGAACGGCGGAGGCAGAAAACGAGAGAATGAGTCGTCTCTCGCTTGAGACGCGAGAGGGAATTCAAGCCGAGGGGGTGCAGCAGAGGGGATTCACAAGCAACGCTCTGAGATGGACTGAACCGGCTCGCGGCTCTGGTCGCCGCTCACCCCTCGCCGCTCACCACTCGTCGCTCACCCCTCGCCGCTCACCCCTCGCCGCTCACCTCTCGAAGCTCACCCCTCGCCGCTCACCTCTCGCCGCTCACCCCTCGCCGCTCACCCCTCGCCGCTCACCTCTCGGGACCACGCCTTGTGCGGTGGAGAATTCGAACCCATTGCTTCAGACGAACGCGGCATGGCGGCCTCGAAGCACCTCCCAGCGACCCTAGTAGTAAGCAGTTCCTAGGGTTGCCGCCCAAGCGGACGCTATCTTGGAGGTGGGATTCGAATCGAAACGGCTGAGCCGAGACGCCACCGCTTAGCGTGTATATTGAACTCTTGAGCTTCCCTGAGGACGGCCTTTGAGGTCCGTGCAGTCCGACTCCAGAGTTGGGAATCGCGCCTTGGGATTTGACTTCCTAGCGGCAGGCGTCTCGTAATCCGTGACGCCTTACTCGGGGCCTTCTGCCGACTCTACTCGAGGGCTGCGGATACAACTAGTGCGGAGAAGTATGCTGCGGTACTACTACTACTTCAAGGCCGCGGCAAGGTGCGGCAAGGTGCGGCACGGTGCGGCAAGGTGCGGTAAGGTGCTCAGACGATTCGCGCCGGGGGACGGGAATTGAGTTGTAAATATCAGGGGGGGTGGTGAGCGCGGATATCACGGGAGTGCCACTCCGAGCGCGGATCCGAAGGACCGAAACGTTCCAATGTTGGGACGGACGGCAGCACGAGCAGAGCCTGGACGCCCGTCTGAAACATACAGTATCTTTACACGATCCGCGGTCAGCGGATGGTCCGCCGGACGGCGGACGGTCTCCTGGCCTTCAATTAATGTGCCGGGGGGGATTGCCGCTCCAGAGGCATTTTTTTATGGCGGAACTCGCCGGCTCCCACCCAAGTGTCGCTGACCCGAAGCAGCATGAGCAAACGAGGATAGGAACGCGAGGATTCGACGGAGGAGAGGAGGGAAGGGGTGGTATTGGAGGGGAAGAACGCGAGGGTGCCTGGCTGGACGATCCTTCACTCAACGAACCCGCAGTCCATGGTTCCCGACCTTCAGGAAACGAGCTGAGCCCGAGCCGAGCCGGACCTGCGTCGGTCGGTGCGTGGTCCTGCGGGGCGGCATTGGTTTGGCTTGGGGGGGTCGGTGCTGCGCTGTGACTGTGACGGCACGGCAGTACACGTGAAGTGGCCATCGCCTCCCAGGCTCCCAGCCAAACAGGCCGCATCCTCCTCGAATGTGGGTTGATGAATCATGACCGAATCAGCAGCAGCTTGCCGCCAGCGCACCTATGAAAATACCGAATCCCCACGCGAGTGGAAGCAGTCGACGACTTGACTGAGGCGTCGGTCCTTCCATTCGCTCCTAAAGTGAACCCTAAAACGAGGAGCAAAGACCCATGCGCGTCCATCCCAGCTATCGTAGCCTCATTTTCCAAAATAGGAGGTAAAACCAAGCTTTTACGTAGGAGATTATCTCCCTCCCTCACAAATACTGGGTGGCCTTTGAGGGTGAATTTCGCTCTAAAGGAATGAGTGCAATATCTGAATTGTGATTCTTCTGGGGGAATGTACCAATACCGCGCTGTACCTGATTTCAACTCTCCTGCCCCTTTGGGGCTGGCCGTCCCGTGACTCCTGTCCCGTCCTGTCCCCTTACAACCAGCCTGCCACGTCATCGCACATGGCATTGGAAATGTTGCCCCTTGAGTGACTGAAAGGCAAGCATTTCCCTGCAGCATTGACTTGACCCTGGAGGACGAGCACAAGTGGCACGCACCCGTGTTTCAACAATCCACGATTCTTGAAAAGATGTTGGCCCCAGGCCTCTGGAACTCAGGAAAAATACCCTGATTTGTCAAGGAAAACAGGGCGAAAGTTTAACCTAGCCCTGCTTTTGACGCGTTCAGAATATCGATACCCGTCCATGGACAGGCAAGCCAGAATTATCCCACGGCCAATTTCCGAGTATGGCATAGACCCGCCCTGTAAAATCTAATGTAAACGCTCGCGCCCCTAGTGAAAAATTATCCCCCTGTCATTGTCAGGAGTGGCTTATTCCGAGCTTGACGACACTCTTGCCTGCAAAAACAATCAAACTTTTTAGGGCTACCCAGCCTGGACGAGTTGGATCCCGGGCAAACTTGGAAACTGCAGGGTGAGCCCTAGGATATAGAGAGGCCTGTTTGGCCCTCCAGTCTTGAGCCTTGACTGAGGTGGGAGCTGGAGGGAGGGGAAGCCCTAAAAGTTACCCGTACAGCTCGCAGGGGTTACAATCAGCACAGATTGTTCTATGAAGGTACAGGTATATTCCTCAAAACAAAATATGACATGCAAATGCAATCATTGGCATTATTACGTGGGCAAGGACACTTCTTGTACGTCTTTCTGTCACATCCTTCATAATCACTTCACCTCTTAATAAAGTAGATTGAACCTCTGCTCATTGCAATCAAGACGTGTATTTACATCGAAAAGCACACTATGTACCGTTACGCCTCAGTCACAAGACTACCATTCATCCCACGCGTTTGTCGAATCCAACAGCATGTCTCTGTTCCAGAGGCCTAGTGTGCCTATGGGACTGCCACCTGGTATGTTGCCGCGCATGCTCTCCGTGCTCTTCCATTCTTGCTTCTCCATCATCCGTGCCATTTGTATCAGTCTGCCTGTGCGTCCCTTCACCTCTGCTTCCTCCCATCACCTCATGCGCCATCGCCTCACCCACCGCCCACATCACCACTGCACGCCGCCTGTAGTCATCCATCGCCTTCGAGGAAGCTTCCTCCATGGATGCAGTTTCGCCCTCCTCCAGACCACCCTGAGCTGGCTCCCTCTGGGCATGTGCCGTCTGCAGGTTCCCGTGTTTTCCTGAGAGCTCTGTCTCCCCACCCAGCTCTTGAGACAGGAAGCGCTCACACTCCCCTTCATCCCATGCAGGGGAAGCGGCAAGCAGGTAGGAGTCAGACAAGCCAGGTCCCTCCCCCTCCGATTTACTCTTAGCTTCGCTTACATCTGGGCTCAGGAGGTCTTTGTCACAGGCTCTCTCAAGCTCCCTCGTTTGTGTCACACTGGAGCCAGCGCCGGGTGAAGCGTGCAGCAGCAGATCTGCTTCCCACGGCGAGACAGGCACGTTCAGCCCCAGGCCAGCCGGATGCGCGCATCCGCAGATACGATACGGCGCAATCATATCTGGCAGGCGGTCGGCCGTCACCGGCTGTCGGTGCTCGCGTGTGGTCCGCTCATCCCGCATGTGGTCCCTCAGAAAGGACGCCGCGTCCGTGCGGCACGCTGGCGGCTCTTCTGCCTGCACGCGGAAAGCCGAAAGCAGCCGGTTTAAAAAACCGAATGTCTGAAAAGCATTAACCTATGTTTTTCTAAATCTGGGTCGGAATTTAAAGCTATAGCACAAACTCGCGGGCTCCAAGCTCACCTTACCCTTGCTGCTCCGTGTTTCGACTGAATCAGCGGAACATATCACCGCAAGCTTCCGGAATCGCACACACTTAGGTCGCGTTCTTAAAAAGCTGCCTGAACGAGTCGCTTCTTGACAGCGACCGTCGCAGCGGTGACCACTCCAGGCCAGCCGCGAGTCAAGCGCTAACGTGAACACCATCGTGCCGGAGACATTCGATGCGGCCAGGAGCTTACATAATTAGCACCGATCTAGGCCTCCTAAAGAAGAAACGAACCGACTGGCTCCTTCATAGCTTCCTACGGTAGAGCGGATGGGGAAATGTGAACTTTCTTTCGATGAAAATCCGTCTTGCTAAGCGGAGGAGCTGATTGGTTTGCCCCAGCTGCTTGGGTTGCATTGCGCGCCGTAAGGTGCGCTGGCAGGGTCTACGTTTCGTGCGATGGAGCGCCATGTCGAGGAACAGATTGTGATGTGGCGAGGAGCCAAGAAACAGATAGGAACATTTGGGGCTGATTGTGACTCGAGAGTCCTGACCTGACCTCGCCACTGTCTAGGTTCGGTTCATGTGTGGAGGGGGAGATGAGGATAAATACAGTCGATGCCCAATCTTATCGCAGCTCAACCTGGCGCCCAGTCTGAATCCGTTCCCTAAACCCCCCATATGCGGGCAATGTGATATCCGTTTGATTCACTCATGATTGCGTCTGCGACCAGCATATAGCAAGGGACAAGTCGTTGACGACGAGGTTTCGTCGCCACGGAACTGTGCACCGCCGTCGCCTGATCGTTTCACAAGAGTCGCACACTGGCAACAAATATCGCCACACAAGCCCCCCCCCCCACAAATACCCACCCATTTCGCCGTGTGCTCGTGCGAAAGCCTCATTTGCCCGTGGCGAGGGACAGCGAAATACTTGACCGATTGAATTCCCGGCACCCTAAAATCTTGTGTAACTCTGTCGCGCCTCGACTGTAATACGGTATGCAACCACGGTACTCGATCAACATTTCATGACGAATATGTAATGTTCAATATACGCACCATGAGGGGAAATGTCCACCTACCACCAACATTGCAGTCCATTAACCTACTCGACTTAGGAGTAGTATATGCGAGGTGTATATGCAAGGTTCAACAATCAAAGAAGAAAGGCCTCGCAAGGCTTGATTTAGTTCTCGATGCAAGGTTCTACGCCTCACCCAATGGTCCAGAGTGGTACTGGAACAATAAGCCAGAAAGGGACAGAAGCAGCTACTGGTTGGTAGACGTGGGCGCATGGCCCCATCACCATGATTGAGCTGTTTCGGTTCGGGTACCTTCACTGACACCCCAAGTTTTAACAATATTCGTACTTATGCTAGAACACCCTGTCGTGAGCTCCTTCAGTTTAGCCAATCGCAGAAACTCAACGAGCTAAGTAAACAGATTCACACCCACAAAATATGTGATCCCACCAACAGAGTCGATAACACCGGAAGAGTGCTCACTTGGGGTGTGGAGTGTAGGAGGGAGTTAGGGACACCACGCCCGTAAATCTGTTCGGAACATTGAAAAACGAGGGATTTTCACGGACCGAAGGACGACATAGCCCAGCATAGGGGAGCATTTGTTGACATCATTTGTGTCACAAAGCGCCAAACGTGCCCCACGCGAAGGGTTGGCCTGTTTGGGGAAGGGTACGCAACGTGATTGGTGGAGCGTCTTGGAGCTGGACCAGCGAAGCTGGGCCGGAAGGGGGCAGTCGGAGAGGGGATCGTCGCCGTCCACGAGGAAGTCGAGTCGAGTCAGAGTCTGAGAGAAGGATGGATGGACGGTTGAGATGAGAAGGCGGCCACGAAGAATGTTCTGTAGTGTATGTGAGGTGAAATTGGATGTGAGGGGCACGGGGTGGACTTCTCGCTGACAAGGCACCCAGCCCTAATTTGCACGACTGTTTTGCACCCTGAGTCCTGTCCTGCCCTTATTTCACGCGGTTGATTGACACACTTCGCGCCCGATTCCCCTCGATTTCCAACCAGCCCTGTCGATTGCTCTCGTGTTAGCGCACCACCACTGTCGACGCCGCATTCGCGCAGACTCCAGTTCAGCGAGCTGATTAGACGTGCACACTCCGCGCGTGCTGCTAGAAAACCGCGATCGAGTTTTAGACGCCCTGCGTCGCCGCGATTCACGGCAAGGGTATGTCGGGAGAGAGAGACGTTCGCGAGAGGCTCAGGCCGCCAGGCAGCGGCAGCAGCAGCAGCAGCAACAGCGGCGTGCTTAATTCGTCGCGAAGCGACGTCGCTTCGACCGACAGATTCGCGAGCTCCACCCAGCTCCTAACAGCGGGAGGCTCCTCGCCGCCTCGCGACAGGTTCGCGACGTCGTCGCATCCTGCAACCCTCGCTTCCGCGCTCTCTTCCTCCTCCTCGTCGTCTTTTTCCACCCACGCGACGCCAATTCGCAGCGCGCCAAGCCTTATAATTCCTGAATTGGTGGCGGGACCAACCGCCAACGGCGCCGCGCTTAACGGCGTCGATTTCGGTGTGCTTAGCGGCGTCAACGGCGTTAAGGGAATCAACGAAATCAACGGAGTGAAGGAGGGGATTCCGGAGAACGCTATACTGCCCGTGAGCCACCCCCCGGCAGTGAGAATGACAAATGGCGGACTCGAGTCGCGCGAGGCGGGGTCTCACGCCGCCGGCCTCGCGGGAACGACATTGCCGCGAGATGCGGCGGAATTTGCGGCGATGGCGATTGCTGCGGCGAAGGCGGCGCAGAGACGAACGCTGGAATGCGCGATCGACGCCGTGGACGCGCTCTCCGCGTGGTGCGGCGCCGCAAGCGCGGGGGGAGTCGGCGGAGGCGGAGGGGCAACGGGGGGCGCGCTGATGCGGCGCGGAGGGGGAGGCGGGGGCGCGAGCGTGCTGGGGGGAGGCGGAGACCCGCTGAAGGGGAGTCGGAAGATATGGGTGGCGGGCCTGCTGCTGGTGGCGCTGATTAGCCTCCTGGTGAGATGCGGCACGCGAGGGCGGGGGGAGAGGGGAAGGCTGCGGGGTCAGTTGTGGAAAGGGTGCTTTCAGGGGGAAGGGTCGTTGAGGAACGGGGTAATTGGCGGGGTGATGGGAGGTGGAAGCGATGGGGCGCGCATAGGGGCGGAGATTGTATGGGAGAGGGTGAGGGGCCGAAAGGTGAAAGCGAAGGAGAGTGCGAGGGGAAGGTGCAGGGGGGGTGGGAAGGGGGAGGGGGAGGGCAGGGGATCGCGGAAAGCTTTCGTCTGCACATGAACCGCGCAAGCGCAGTCAACCCATCCATTGTAACCCGCCTTGGCTCAAAATAGGATCAAGGCCACTTTCTGCCCACCAAACCCCCTCCCCTGCTGAAACTTCTTTCAGGAGAAAAAAAGCACAACCCCACCCCCCCCCCCCCCCCCCCCCCCCCCCCTCTCCCCTCGTTCTCTGACCTCTGTGCCTCCTTGCCCCCGCATTTATCTCCCCTCTCTCTCATGCATTTCATGCCCCCTCCCCCTCACCCCCACTTCCCTCCTCTCCTCCCTCCTCTCCTTCCTCCTTTCCTCCCTCCTCTCCTCCCTCCTCCCTCCCCTCTTCCGCCCCCCGCTTCCTCGTCTCTCTCCTTCCTTCTTCCCTCTTCTTTTTCCCCCCTTCTCTCTACCCCATCTCACCTGCCCCACCCCTTTGCGCCATCAGAACACGGCACACGTGAGGGACTTCAGAAAGGATGACGTCACGCCCTTCGTTACAAGGTAACCAGTGCCTGTTGTCTTGGACAGCCGTGCCACACTGCCTTGATGCTCGCTTCACCCCTCCTTCCTGCCCTCCACTCCACTCGTCCCCACACACCACTCCCCTCGCCCCCCCCCTCCCCCCCTCCTCCCCCTCTCCTCCCCCCTTCATTATCACACCCCCCTCCCCTCCCCTCCCCTCCACCCCTCGTTCCCCCCAGCCTGGCGAGCAGCGAGGCGCAGCTGGCGCGGCAGCTACAGGCGCAGGCGTCAGTGGTGTCGGAGCTGTCGTCGCGCTCGCAGCAGCAGGTGCAGCTGCTCGGCGCGCTGCTGCAGCGCACGCAGGGGCTCGAGGGCGCGCTGGGGCGCCTGGCGGAGGGGCGCGTGCAAGAGGTGGTGGAGAGGGAGATAGGCGCGCTAGGGGGAGGCGGAGGCGGAGGGGAGGGGGGGAGGATGGGGGAGGGGGGAGGAGGCAGCTGGTGGTGGAGGGGGAGGAGGTGGCGGGGCAAGAGGGGAAGGTGGGACGACAGGCGGGTAGACAGGTGAGAGAGGAGAGGAGAAGGGAGGTAATGTGTGTGTTTAGCCACCTCCCACCTCCCTCCCCCACCCCCACCCTCCCCCTAACGCCGCTCCCCTCACCGCCCCACTTCCCCGCCCTCCCCTCCCCATTCCCTGCCCGTTTTGCCGCTCTCAGCTGCGTCTGCAGGGCGCCATCATTTAGAGCCTCGAGGCACATCATTTAGAGCCTCGAGGCACATCATTTAGAGCCTCGAGGCACATCATTTAGAGCCTCGAGGCACATCATTTAGAGCCTCGAGGCACATCAAAAGTCTGCCTCATAATCTGTCCCCCCTCCTTCTCCTCCTTCTCCCCTTTTACCCCCCCCCCCCCCCCACCATCCTCCCTCCCATACTCGCTTCCTCCCCTTCAGCTGCGGCTGCAGCGCGCCATCATCGAGAGCCTCAAGGCACATCATCAATTTGCCCCCTACCCTCTCTCCCCTCCTTCCCCGTTTTTATCCCCCCCTCCTCTTCCCACTCCCACCCCCGCGCCCCCTCCCCTCCCCCCTCGCAGCTGCGGCTGCAGCGCGCCATCATCGACAGCCTCAAGGCGCGAGTCGCCCAGCTGCAGAAAGAAGTCGCTGCGGCCAAGGCCGACGCTGCTGCCGCCTCCACTGCGGCTGCTGCTGCTGCTGCTGCCGCTGCCGCTGGTGCTGGTGATGCTGGTGCTGCCGCTGCCGCTGCCACTGGTGGTGGTGGTGCTGCTGCTACAGCCAGGGGCTCACTGCTTGAGCTGCCGACCCAGGGGCAGGGGCAGGGGCAGGGGCAGAGGGGGGATCAGCGGCAGGAGGAGACGGAGCAGAATGAGGAGCAGAATGAGGAGCAAACACAGGAGCAGGAGCAGGGGCAAAGACAGGAGCAGGAACATCAGGAGCAGCAAGAGAGGCAGGAGGGAGAAGGAGAGGGCGAAGAGCGAAGGGGGGAGCGGAGGGAAGGGGGAGACACGGAAGGAGGGGGTGTGGTAGCGGACTTGGATCTGATTGGTCGAGAGGAAGGTGAGGGGAGGGGGGAGAGGGGAGGGGGGAGGGGCAACGGGAATTATGGGGGAACGGTGGCAAGGAAGGGCGATGAGTTGCTGCTGTGTGTTGCTCTTTCAAACTGACTGTGAATGCGCATATGTGGGTGTCCTCTGTCCTCTTCCTTTTCTGATCTCTCTTTGTGTGTTCGTTGTGCGTCCATGTGTGTGTGTGTGTGTGCACGCCCGTGTATGCATGTGTGCATGTGTGCCTGTCAGAATACACGCCGTTTAGAGAGTACTCCACACCATCTGGCTATAGGTTCATCCGTTTCAGGTAAACTCAAACACTAACCTTCTCCCAATCCCATCCCATCCCATCCCATCCCATCCCATCCCATCCCATCCCATCCCATCCCATCCCATCCCATCCCATCCCATCCCATCCCATCCCATCCCATCCCATCCCATCCCATCCCATCCCATCCCATCCCATCCCATCCCATCCCATCCCATCCCATCCCCATCCCCATCCCATCCCATCCCATCCCATCCCATCCCATTTCCGACCATCTCACTTCTTCCATGTCATTGCAGCACCTCCCAATTCATCCCATGCCATGCCATGCCCTTCCATGCCATGCCATGCCATGCCATGCCATGCCCTTCCATGCCATGCCATGCCATGCCATGCCATGCCATGCCATGCCATGCCATCCCATCCCATGCCATGGCACCATGCTCGCATCACCAGCAGCTTCCAGCCTAGATCCTCATCACGTATCCCTCCTCCCTCCTCCCTCCTCCCTTCTCCCTTCTCGCCCCTCCCCTCCACCACCCCCCAGCGCGCACCGCATCTCCCCAACGGCCTTTGCTGCCATTGGCGTGGCTCCCCTGTCGGCCCGCAGCCTCTCCGCCCCCCTCAGCCACTGCATGTATGTGCCGCTCAGCCACTGCATGTATGTGCCGCTCAGCCACTGCATGTATGTGCCGCTCAGCCACTGCATGTATGTGCCGCTCAGCCACTGCATGTATGTGCCGCTCAGCCACTGCATGTATGTGCCGCTCAGCCACTGCATGTATGTGCCGCTCAGCCACTGCATGTATGTGCCGCTCAGCCACTGCATGTATGTGCCGCTCAGCCACTGCATGTATGTGCCGCTCAGCCACTGCATGTATGTGCCGCTCAGCCACTGCATGTATGTGCCGCTCAGCCACTGCATGTATGTGCCGCTTGGCCCTCCCCCTCTCACTCCCCATATCATTTCCCATCTCACTCCCCCTCACTCCCCATCTCACTCCCCCTCACTCCCCATCTCACTCCCCCTCACTCCCCCTCACTCCCCATCTCACTCCCCATCTCACTCCCCCTCACTCCCCATCTCACTCCCCCTCACTCCCCATCTCACTCCCCATCTCACTCCCCCTCACTCCCCATCTCACTCCTCCTCTCAATCCCCCTCTCACTGTCTGTCAGCATCCCCCCCCTCCCCCCCCCCCGCCTTAGTTTACTCAATAATCGTCCTCCATTTTCCTTTGATACCCGAATTCCCACTCTCTTTACCCTCACTCTCCCTTCACCCCTGCGCTCTCAGTTTCCCTTCTCCCTCTACCCTCCCGCCTTTCCCTCCGTCCTCTTTTCTCTTTCCTCCAACTCCCGTCCACACCTCTTGACCTCACTCGTCTCTCTACCGCTACTGTCCTCCACTCCGCCCCCCACGTGCTGCCTAACCCCCCTCAGGTTCCGTCCGCCCCCTGCATAGAAACCCCTCTCTGCTTCACACTCCCCCCCTCCCCCCTGCTCTCTCCCCCCCTCCCCCCCGCCTCCCTCCCCCCACCAACCGCTGGCTTCCCCCCTCTAACTCCCCCCTCCCCCCTGTGAGGGGAGCCCTCTCCACGTTCTTTCCCTCGCACCCCTCTCAGCATCTCTCTCCCCCTCCCCCCTCTCCCTCCTCCCCCCCCAAACAGCTGGCTTCCCCCCTCTGGCTCCCCCCTCCCCCCAGTGCGGGGAGCCCTCTCCGCGTTCTTCCCCTCGCACCCCTCAGAGCAACCGTCAGAAACAGTGGTGCTGCGCTGCTCCTTCCCCCCCCCTGCTGCGCCTGGGGAGGGGGAGCAGCAAGGGGAGGGGAGGGGGGGTGGGGGGGAGGGGGCTTTGCCGTATGGAGGCAGCGCGGCAGCAGTGCTGGCTGGCGGCGTGACCATCCCCCTCATCAGGTGCGGGATGTTGCATGGTGCTTGTGATAACCTCTCTTTCGCCCTCCTCTCTTTCGCCCTCCTCCATTTCGCCCTCCTCTCTTTCGCCCTCCTCCCTTTCGCCCTCCTCTCTTTCGCTCTCCTCTCACGACAGTTTTACACCCAAACATAAGGGAATCCGACAATAATGCACCCAATTAGTTCAACCCAATGAGAGGCGATTCTTGCGCATGTGTTATCAACTGTTTCGGATGGACGTTGCTTTGCAACTCTGCAGAAAATGCCAAACCAGAAACGGAAAATCTTGGGCAGCTTTCAGGGTAACAAAAATAAGGCCCAAAGAGGCAGGCGTCCAGCTAACATGCCTGGCGTCCAGCTAACATGCCTGGCGTCCAGCTAACTTGCCTGGCATCCAGCTAACTTGCCTGGTGTCCAGCTAACTTGCCTGGCGTCCAGCTAACTTGCCTGGCGTCCAGCTAACTTGCCAGGCGTCCAGCTAACTTGCCAGGCGTCCAGCTAACATGCCTGGCGTCCAGCTAACTTGCCAGGCGTCCAGCTAACATGCCAGGCGTCCAGCTAACTTGCCTGGCGTCCAGCTAACTTGCCGGATGTCTAGCTAACATGCCAGGCGTCCAGCTAACTTGCCTGGCGTCCAGCTAACTTGCCGGATGTCCAGCTAACTTGCCACCTACTCTTCCCCCCCACACCCTTCAACACATCCCCACCATCCTCCTCCCCTCCCCTCCCCACACCAGGGAGCAACAACCCCCCGACGAACCATCCACCACCACCACCACCCCCTCCTCCTCCTCCTCCTCTCCCTTCCCTCCCCCCTTCCCCTCGCACCTCACTCTCTGCCTCCCCCCACTCTACGGCCCGTCCCTCTCGCCCCGCGCCCTCCTCGAGTTCCTCTCGTACCACCGCCTGCTGGGCATCGACTCCTTCCTGCTCTACAACGCAGGGGGAGCCACAGAGGGGGTGAGGGAAGTAGTGAGGCGGGAGGAGGAGAAGGGGAGAGCAGTGCTGTTGGACATGATGGGGCTGTTGGAGCGGGAGCACATGTGGAATCACGGGCAGGTGCCGGCTCTGCATGACTGCATCTACCGCTCGCGCCTGTCGGCTCGATGGCTGCTGTATGTAGACCTGGACTCTTACCTCTGGCTGCCGCCTGTCACTGAGCCGCGCCCTCTGCCCCCCCTGCATATCCTGCTAGAGACCTACGATGCTGGTAACACGGTAACCACCACCAGCAGCAGCAGCAGCAACGGCACAGCTTCTGCTGCTGTCGCCACAGCCGCAGACCCCAGCCTGAGTGGGTGGGGCGACGGCAGCGGCAGCAGCAGGGGCGGCAGCAGCAGCTCAGTGGCCGGCATCACCTTCGGCTCTCTCTGGTTCTCCATCCACCTCTGCCGCCCGCGCGCCGACCACGAAATCGAGGTGCTCGGCCTACCCGACCCAGCAGCAGCAGGCATGGCAGCTGGGAGAGAAGCAGCAGCAGGAGCGGCCGCAGCAGGGGGCGTGGATGCAGGGGGGGGGCGGCTGTGGAGGGGAGGGGTGGTGCGGGACAAAAAGGTACCCAAGGAGTCGCAATGGGGGGGGGCGAGGGACGGAGAGCTCCAGGTGGAGCGGTTTGTGTTCCACTGGCCCGACCCCGCGTGCCATGAGAATGAGCACGATGGGGAGAGGGTGTTTGACCCGTCGCTGTGCCCGGGGGAGAAGGGCCACCGCAAGTTCATTGTGGACCCGAGACGGGTGAGTGCCTCTCGAAGTGTCCAGTCCAAGACACGAGCCCAGCCCTCCTTTTCTTCTTACTCCCCCCTTGTGCCTCGCTACTCGTCCACTGTCCGCACTTCCCCTGCTGTCATTTACACTGCCCATACCCCCTTGCGTCCTCCCCTCTCCAGCTTTCCCCTCCTTTGCGCTGCCCAGTCCCCACGCTCATTAGGTTCGGGTGCCTGAAGCAGCTCCCTATCGGTTTGATACCATGAGTGTGTTCCGCTCTGCACTGATATTTCCCACCGACCCCCCACATGGCGCATCTGAGCACGAGCGACCTGCAGCTGCTGCACTACCGGGAGCTGGGGTCGGGTGGCTGACCTCAGTCCTGTCGCTCGTCGCTGCCCTCCTCTCCCTTTCCGTCCGCACCCACAACCAGGTGGACACCATGACTGTCTTCGGCCCCGCCCCTTCCGACCCAGCCTACCCGCGCATGGCCCACCTGAGCACGAGCGACCTGCAGCTGCTGCACTACCGCGAGCTAGGGTCGGGCACGGAGCAGGGCGTGTGTGACGAGCCCACCCCCCGGTGGCGCGCAGTGGGGTGGTGGCACACGGACGCCACCTATGGCAAGTCAATCGCTGCGTTGAGGCAGCGGGTCACCTGCAACTTCACAGCAACTGGGGTGAGTGGTGAGGTGTATTGGGGCGCCTTCAGGTGTTTTTAGATTTTGACATGTGGTTATACGAGGTACTTCCTGATGTGAGCTGAGCAATTTTTGCACTTGCAAACTCTGGCTGTACCCAACCTTCCCCATCCTCACACTTCTCGCCTCTTGCCATCGCCCCCTCTCCCCTGCAGTGTGAAGGCTCACCCTATTCGTGATCTGCACGACACATCAAGCTATACTGCACAACATTGCCCCTATTTTGAGGCAACCAAGTCAGGGAAGAACCTGTCAGAACTGAGTCACTAACCACTGAGTAAAAAGGGCTTGTTAAGTAGCGGGTAAGTGCGCCCATAACCCCCCGGGCTCTGCACCTGTGACCCTTCCCCGAGGATCTCAAGGGCAACCCCAGTGTGTCTCTTAACAGGACCCTCTCTGCCTCCTTGGCCCGTGAAGTGGATTCTAGTTATCAGCACAGCACACACACATTTCCAGCTGGGGTACAACGGCTGACTTGTACTGTAATAATAAGGTGCTCTGAAGAGAGTTGTGCTTGCCATGCTCTTGGACCTCCAAAACAAGAGGGTGGTTTCAGAGTAATGAATTGAGTAGAATGTGGGAATACAAGAGGATATAACCTAAGGTGTTTTACTCTCTATGAGCCTGCACCTATCTAGCTTATAACATATACTTCTAAATGTTGACAGGTGTTTCCTTCCTCGTGTAGTCCTAGCAGTAACAAAACGAATTATAACATTATTGTGTCCAGCAGTTGTCAACATGACCAGCACCACCACACCCCACCACATGTGTCAATCACCTTGTCTCACTCGCACTTCCTAATTTCTCTGGTACCAGTATCCAAATTTGACTCTTGCTTCTTTACCCAAGAAGATCAACCATGGATACCGTACCGTACTCCCCACAAGGATTTCGAACTGCACCCTCAGCGTCGTTACTGATGAGCATAATCAAAGCGCGAGTTCCTACGCCCACCTAGTACCAGACTGCCTGCACGCCTTGAATCCCTTACCGCCAGCATTGTCCTCCTCAGATAGCGCGAGGGCATGTATCTACAGCGACCAGACTTCGAGATCCAAGACGCAAACGCGGGGAGCTCCCCCGCCGTCCCCATAAGCGAGGCCTGTACAAACGCGTTCCTGGTACACATACTCCGTTCCTTCTTGGGACCAAGGGAGAAGCATCGCCCTCGCCTCATCTATGGCGACGACGCCTATGCCCCATCGCCCTCATCTACGGCGCGCTCCTTCGTGGAGTGGAAGGCCACCGACGTGAATCACATATATGACGCCGGGTGCGGAGTGGAAGGCCGGCGCTCGGCGGTCACACGGACGTGCACGAGGGCGCGTCGGCTAGCCGTCTGAGCATGGCGCGCACCGATCGGTCATCCGCCATGCCGTCTACCTCCTCCGACCCGCTCAGAATCTGCAGGGGGAGGAGGCATGGGGAGGAGGCATGGGGAGGAGGCATGGGGAGGAGGCATGGGGAGGAGGCATGGGGAGGAGGCATGGGGAATGGGGAGGAGGCATGGGGAGGAGGCATGGGGAGGAGGCATGGGGAGGAGGCATGGGGAGGAGGCATGGGGAGGAGGCATGGGGAGGAGGCATGGGGAGGAGGCATGGGGAGGAGGTATGGGGAGGAGGCATGGAGAGGAGGCATGGGGGGTCGCACAGCAGCTTTTACCCCGCGTTCACCGACTTCAATGCTTCACTCGCTGCTGATGACTTTTGAGTCGACTCAAAAGTTACCCCGCGTTCACCGACTTCAATGCTTCACTCGCTGCTGATGATCGCCAGTGCCTTCAACTGTTCTGACTCATTCAAAGTTTGAATCAGGCATGTGAAGCAGCGGATTTGTGACAACCACCTCTATGCTTGCTTCCTGCGACGCACCTTGAGGTACTCTGCGATCGGCATGCGACGGTACTCCACCGCCGACCAGCCGCTCACCGACGACGCCACGCCGCGCGGTTTCGACCTGAGGGCGTCGCGGGGGGGGTCGGTACGATGGGAAGGAAACGACAAAGATCCAAACTTGTCGTAAGCGACGAGCGGGAACGATGATGAGATTTTGACGCGTACCGAAACAGTGCGCGTGTTGAGCATGTGTGGTGCACGCATGACGTGTGCAATACAGATGCAAGACGCGTGCAAGATGCGTGCGTGACCCGTGCTCGGTAAGAGTGCTGAGCTCGCCGCGCCGCCTGCCTGAACACTCACCGAGCCTCGGAGTCGCCTGCCAGGATGTCAGCGACCAGATAGCTCGATATGGCAGCTCCAGCAACAATGGCGACGGGCGTCGCTGCGTGCTGACAGTTGGCGGCAAAGGGGGGGAATGAAGAAAAGAGCGCCTGTGAGATGGAGCACGGAAGGGAGCTTCTAGGGGGGGGGGGGGCTTCTAGAAGGGGTGTGGGGAGGGGGGAGAGGGCGGGGGGTGCGCTTCTAAGGGTGGGGTGGGGTGGAGGGGGGGCCTTCTTGGGGAGCTTTCTGGGAGGAGCTTCTAGGGGGGAGCTTCTAGGGGGTAGCAACAAGCATGTATCCCCGGAGACACACGAAGAAAGGCATTTAACTTCACCATTACACGCGAACCAGGGGGACGCCAGCAGGGAGAAAAAGAAGGCTGCGACAGGACACGTACTCGCAAGGCGGCGATGAACGACATCGTGTGCGCGCGACGTATGAAGGGACGATGACCAAAGGAGTAACACTCAGGAGCAGCAAGCAAACTTAGCAGAGGCTCTGTTGTGCGAGGGGAGATCAACAGTATGTAGAATAGTCTCTGCTAATGTGCAGCGCACCTTTTATGCGCGTTGCTCGCTCGCTTTTCAAGGCTTCATAAGGGCGATAGATCCCCCCCTCCCTCCTCACCCATAGCTGCCCGCCTCTCTGGTGCACAGTGCACGCACATCCATGCGATGAGCCACAAGGGGAGGAACATTCGATGCGATGGCGGCGTGGCGTGAATTCCGCGTGGGGGATGGATGCAGCAGATGCTGGGAGGGTGGCCAGCGCCCATGCGCTGTGTATGTGCTGGCATCCAGCGGGGCAAGGCACGTTCTGTGAGAGGCTGGAAATGACGTGGATACCACCCATTGCCACGTTTGTCAGATCACAGCAACGCCAACGAGTATGATACTGCTCGTTATAGAACACTGAGTGGAAAGTCTCAACACTATGCTTCTCAATGTCCCTAATAATACCGAAAGAGCATTTAGAGGTGGAGGGATTGGTTGCACAACCATCAGACAGATTATGTAAAACTGTCAATGGCGAACCCGATATCAAATTTCGATGCATTTCTCTTACGAAATCAGGGGCGAGGCGACAGGTGCCGAAGGGCCTAAATGAGCAGCTGTCTTTTCTAAGCCTTCGTATGGCTACGTACGTAGTTACCTGGTCTCAGGTATATGAACTGCAATACGAAGAATTGGAGAATCCTTTAAGAAGGTCATGCCGAGGGATGCTGGGAGCGTCTGAGCAAGTGACTGAGCAGCCAATAGTGGGCATCTACCTTACACATTCTGTTTGTGGTCCTGAATGGATAAAGCGCCCGTGTCAAGTGGGGTCAACCGTTTTTGTGGGGAATGAAATGTTTCCGTCCAGCCCGCCACGGTTCAAATGCTGTCTGTTTGCTCGACGAACAGACGAAGCCCACTCACGATTGGCTAACATTGTAGCTTGGCAGCAGGCACATCCTCAAGCAGCCACAAAACGCATTTCAAGCTAGCAATATCACTTCAACCTAACCGAAGGTGACCGTTCGCATCTGCGCTGGCACTGTACCTTCACCATCCGCGAATCCCGGCGCCTGGGCTGGGCGGGACATTTCTCGCTCCAAACCTAACCGCAACGTTTTCGGCACTCAGGCGCTGCGGTCCAATCTGACAATTTCCATGACAATGATCAGTGGGGTATGTCAGGTCTGCGCAGTTTGGCTCCCTGCCATGATGGTTTGGGGACAGTGCAGGCTTGGGGAGTTCAGACGCAGAATGATGTCATCGGGGCCCTCATGTACTGTACTGTACCCTGCAATGATCAGTGTTCAAGCAGGCATGACCGTCAGATCTAACCAGGCTGGGCATGATGGACGGGCTCGATGAGAATGAGATTATCGGGAGGATATCAGGACCCATTGCAGTCAGCCTGCCAATTCTGTTCCGGCTATGGCTGCAGCTGCGCTCTGGCAATACAGCACACCTTGATATCTAGGTGGCTTTTGCCCGGGAGATGAGATTTTGGCTTTTGCCTCCCATGTCGTCTGGTGCTCAACGGCTGCTGCTGAATTAGCAGAGGTCGTTTGTGGTTCACATTTTAGGCCCTTTCACCTAAAAACCGCATTTTTGGGCTCACAATCCGGCTACTCGCCGGATTTACCGCAACCAGGCATAGTATCTTCAGGCACGACTTCAGAATTTGCTTACAGATAACCGCGACAGACTTCAATTCTCTTCCTTAGGGAGAAGCCGTTCTTCCGACTTTCTGTAGTGGATCATACATCCATGGCAGAGCCTACACAATCCATCTTAACGTGTACGGAAATGAATGAATCTGAAACTCAGACGGCGAACGGTGTCGACCATTACTCTCGTCTGACATCGTCGACGAGTGACGCAACACCCGACCCCGTGTTGCTCACAGAAGCCATGTGTCCTGACGTGTCACGAGCTCCCTCGGATCATGCGATCGAGCCGCAGGAAGTACATGACGCGACTCTTCGCCAGGATAATTCGTTAGCAGTTGAGTCAATTTCCGCTGTTGCAGAAGGTGTAGTGAATGGTCAAGAGGCGACGGCCATCAGACTAGTCGAAGATGTCAGACAAACTGAAGATAGTCGAGACACGCGGATGGAGTCAAGCGAGGCGGTAAAGCCGGATCACACGGTGACCGAGCACGACAAGATGGATGTGGATGCGATTCCGCCGCAAATTGACCAAGATCAGACATCCGCGGAGGTAGCCACGGAAAATCCTGCACCAGAAACCGCGACGAGTCAAGAGATTCGCGAAGTCGCTGGCTCGAACGGCGGCGTGGAAATGCTCGACGCGAAGGAAGAAGCGAATGAGATCGAACCGTCAGCGGCAACTGAAACTGGAGGAGAAGCGGCAGTTGAAGCGGCAGTTGAAGCTGCAGCAGAAGCGGAAGTGAAGGTCGAGTCTGGGTCAATTGACCGTGTGGAAACCGGACGAGGGGAAGAGAAGGTTGAGTCTAAGCCAGCACCAGCTGCTGGAGCGAGCGAGGATGTGAAGATGGAAGATGCCAACCACGCGGCCGACGGCAATGATGCAACGAACGGCACGGATGCGACTGACGGCAGTAACGATGCGACTGATGGCAGCAACGCGACGAAGATGGAGGATGCGAACAAGGATGGCAGCACTGGCGATGTCGCTGCGAGTCACAAGGAGGGGGATACTGTGAAGGACGATGCGGAAGCTAGTGACGCGAATCCCGCTAAGGATGCGGACGACGCTGCTGGTTGCGATTCCCCTCGGCCGACGTCGCATGTGGCCAACGACGCCTCTGCGATGTCGCCTCCCAGAGACCCCGCGGTCGCCGCGCAGGCCGCTGAGACTAACGGCGACACGCCTCCGCCGTCCAAGCCCGGTGCCGGCACGCCGAGCTTCTCCGTGGGGACGCCGTCAGTCGCGGCGGATTCCCCGCGGCAGCAGACCATCAGCCCGGACAGCCAGTCCAGCCTGGTCGACCCAGGCCTGGTCGCAGGTAAATTCAGCTGCTAAACCAGGACAGATACATCGTGGTAATGTACGATCTTCGTCAGCGTAACAGCGGATTGTTTAGCTTCATTCTTCGTATGTTTCGTGCTAAGAAATATCACTGACATGAGTTATCATGTCGGCTTGCCTTCCTCTGTAACAGATGAGAACGCGGCGCCGTTCACCATCAGCCAATGGCAGCAGCTGGAGCAGCAAGCCCTCATCTTCAAGTACCTCGTCTCCGGCGCTGCCGTCCCGCCTGAACTCATCGACTCGCTTTACTCCACCTCGGATTCGCCCGATCAATCACCCGACGGCCCTGGTACGGTGTTAAAACTCCCGAGCTTTGCCCCGCCAGTGGGGCTGTGGGTTGGAAGCTCGTAACGAGTATTGATGGAAACGCGTATTGTTGCTCTGTGCAGCGTCGTGGGCCACGCCGCTCAAGGACGCGGAGCCCCTCAGGTGCCGCCGCACGGACGGCAAGAAGTGGCGATGCTCGCGAGAGGTACGCCGGAACCCAGGGGTGAGAGGAACTGATTCGCCCTTCACAATCAGTCGCGCGGGATCCATTTCTCTGTGTCTCATTTCTCGCATGTGCCTTTCGCTTTCCTCGCCATCTTTCGCCCCTCCTATCCAAGGCTGATTGCGTCGACCGTGTCCTTATCGTTTCCTCTGTCCTTATCGTTTCCTCTGTCCATCGCGGTCTTTGCAGGCGGTGAAGGACCAGAAGTACTGCGAGCGACACATGCATCGCGGGCGAAACCGATCGCGAAAGCTCAACGACAGGGCGACGGCCGGCTCGTCGCTGTCCATCCAGGCGGCGTCGTCCGAGGGGCCCATGGGGTGCGTGGAGGGCACGTGCTCCGCCATGACTGACACGTGCACCAACACGCCTTGCCACAAGGGGCTCGTGCCAAAGTTCGAGATCGGCTCGGTGACGAAGCTGGAGATAGGCTCGGTGTCGAAGCTGCGGTTGAACACGGACGATGTGGGCTCGACTGTTACCCGCGGGTCCCCTCCGCCTCCCCTCGCGCTGCCCCCGCCCGCCCAGCCTGTCGGGGCGGACCAGAGGCGCACTCCCGCCTCCAAGTCCTCGTAAGTGTCACCCCCCGTGGCTCTGTGCCCTATTACGTCCCTCGCGCTTCCTAGATGTACTGAGCAAACCTCATGGTTGGTTTTGGGGGCGGGCCTGGTCAGCCTGGTCTGCTGGGAGTATTTTCTAATGCCGCACATGCTCCTCTTCTTGCAACCGCTGTGCCTCACGACTCTCCTCTCTCGTGTCCTCGCAGGGCTGTCGGTTGCTCCAAGCAGCTCGCCATCCAGCTATCCCCAGACAACGCCGGATCGCCCTTCCCTGCCAGCCAACAGCCCCATGACCCTGCATGCACCCCCTCGGCTGCTGCTCCTCTTCCTCCGCCTGCCGCCGCCTCTACCGCCGCCTCTGCCAGCGCAACCGCTGGTCCCGACGCCACGCCAGCCCCGTCGTCCTCCACTGTGATTGCCCCGTTCGGCCTCGCCCAGTCAACGTCCGCCTCCACGCCCGGCGCTGAAGTCGCCTCCAGCAGTAACATGCTCGTGTCTGGCGACGCTGATCGTCACCAGCAGCAGCAGCAGCATTCGTCGCAGCAGTTTGGGGCGGACCCTCGGCTGCAGAAGTCGCAGTCCATGCCGTGCCACAGTAGCAGCAGTAGCAGCGGCCGGCTTCAGCTGCAGCTGAGCGGGGCACTGGGCCCTCGCCTCACGTCCACATTCCAGCCCGGGCAGAGCATCGTGGAAGCGGACGAAGACTGCCCCGGGCCCATGCCTCCACAGCAGCAGCACCAGCAGCAGCAACAGCAGCAGCATGCTCTGATGCCATCGCGATCTATGCCGCCCCGCCAGCTCCCAGTTGCTTCAAACACCATGTATTCCCAGCAGCAACAGCCGCAGCAGCAGTATTCCGCGGGCCGCATGGGCTCACCGCCTCGCATGCAACGATCCACCTCCCTGGTGCTGGGCGGCGGACAGCGGCTGTGTCTGCAGGTGCCGCCCAGCAGCAACTCACGGACGCCCGTTACCGCCAGCGGAATGGCGCCTGCTGGTAACGTTGCTGCCGATGCTGCCACTGGTGCTGGTGGAGGCAGCAACGGCGTGGGGCAGCTGCAGCCGGGGCACTACCAGCTACAGACGGGCGGACGAGGTCCCAATGGCGCTGTGCCCAACGGTGGAAGCAACTGGCAAAGCCAGAGCCAGCAGAGGCAGTCGTCTGTGCAACAGCCATTCCAGCAGCAGCAGGGTCAGCAGTGGCGGCCGCAGCAGCAGCAGCAGGCACAGCAACAGTGGCAAGGGCAGGCACAGCAACAGTGGCAAGGCCAGGCACAGCAGCAGCAGCAGCAGCAGCAGCAGCCTGCGGATCAGCAATGGCAATCGGGTGCCCCTCCCCAAGACCAACTGGCTGCAACGCAGAAACCGCAGCAGCGGTGGGGAACACCGAATCAGCAGCAGCAGTGGCAACCGCAGCAGCAACAATCATCGCAGCAATCGCAGTGGCAGCCACAGCAGCAGGCGCCCCAGCAAGCCACCAACACCCCTTCTCAACCAGCAGGTGGTAACCAGTGGCAACAGCAACCCGCCCAGGCAGCACCCATGCAGCAGCAGCAGCAGCAGCAGCAGCAGTGGCAGTCCCCCTGCGCATCACAGCAGCAACAGGCGCCCCAGTCACAGCAGCAGAGCGGGCAATGGCAGAATCAGAACCAGCAGTGGCAGTCACAGCAAGCTAAGCCAGTGCACGGGCAGGCGCCCATGACGCCAGTGATGCAGCCGCAGCCGCCGCAGCAGCAGCAGCAAGGCATGGCTCAGCCCGGCCAAGCACAGGCACAGCAGGCGCCATACACCCCCCAGCAGGGCCAAGCTGCGTCCACACCTCAGCAGGGGCAGGCGGTGTGCACCCCCCAGCAGCAGCTGCTGCAGGGCGGCGGACAGAGAGGCGAGCCGTGCAAGTTCAGCTCGCGAGCTCTGGTGCTCAGCGGCGAGCCTGAGTCGCCCGAGACGCACCCCCTCGTGTCTGCTGCCTCCGAGACTCGCCAGCAGCAGCAGCAGCAGCAGCAGCAGCAGCAGATGCGGCTGCAGCCAGTGCAAGGGCAGCAGCAACCCATGCAACAGAACATGCAGCATCCGGCACCGCCTCAGGTGCACGCACCTACGCAGCAGTCGCCAATTCAGCAAGCACCGGTGATGCAGGCACAGCCCATGCAAGCAGCAGGCATGCCAGGCGCCCCTCAGCCAATGCGGGCACCACGCGGATCCATGCCTCCTCCCCCTCCCCCCATCGCCCAGCAGCCTCCTCTCCAGCAGCAGCAGCCCCACGCTCAACCTGTGTCCATGCCCCTGGGGGGACTCTCCACCAGCAGCACCAGCACCAGCAGCAACAGCAGCGGTGGCGGCGTCAAGGTGCCTCTGCTGCGGCTGCCCAGCCTCATCCAGAGGCCCCCTGCAGCCCCCTCTCACCTGGGCCCCGGGCTCTCCAACGCCAACAGCAACTCCTCCCTGCAGCTGGGCCTCACCAGCCAGGGCTCTGTGTTGTCTGCAGGCGTCATGGTGTCGCCCATGGGAGCGCCGCATGGCAATCCCCATGTGCTCACACGCTGCAGCTCCGTGCCTGAGCCAAGGCACGGGCGGCCACACCTGACGCGCTCCCAGTCCATGTTTGAGTCGCCCAGGAAGAGCTTCGTTGCTGCCCCCGGTGAGCAGTACTGCCCCCCGCCCCTGGACCTGCTGAACTCGTCGGATGGCTGTGGGTACAGTGATGGGCCTCTGCCGTATGAGCAGCAACCATACCAGCAGCAGCAGCAGTCGCAGCAGATCTATCAACCGGTGCAATCCCAGCAGCAGCAGCAGCAGCCACCAATGCAGTCGATGGGGTACCAAATGGGAAGCTCTTGTGGCTCTGGCGGTGTGCCGCCGCATCACACAGGCATGAGGCAGATGAGCAACACACAGCAGCAGCAGCAGCAATTCAGCCCCGCCCCTCCCCAGTCTCTCATGCACAGCCCTGCACCACCACAGGCGCCCATGGGCTCACAACCACCCATGGGCCAGCCGCAGCAGCAATTCTCGAATTCGGCTCCCATGCAACAACAGCAGCAGCAGCAGCAGCAGCAGCAGCCATTCTACCAACAGCAGCAGCAACAACAGCAGCACTCACAGCCTCACCCACAACCATTACAGTACCAGCAGCAGCCGCCACAGCAGCAGCAATATCAGAACCAGCCAATGCAACATGTGCAGCCACAGGTCCAGCACCAGCAGTATCAGCAGCAACAGCAACGGCTGCCCACTCCACCACCACCCCTGCAGCAGCAGCAGCCCACATCTCAGCCGTACATGCAGCAACAACTCCATCCTACGGCCCAGGTTCATCCTCCCTCAGCATGTGCTGATGACCGGCAGCAGCAGCAGCAGCAGTCGGGACTCTCGATCGACATGTTCTTCAGCGATGACAGGTGAGCCACACCACCTTAGATTGACGCCTCATTCCGCTCACCTCTCTTGTGCATCATTGCCATTTTCTGTAGGTTGATCCCTCCCTTGTGCACAGCAGCAACTCACCTGCCTCCCTTCCCCCGTCCTCCCCCCTCCCCCCCCCCCATTGCAGCCCCTGGGAAGAAGCTTCAGCTCTCATAGGCCGATCGCCCAACCTGGGTCCGCTGCCGTGTGTGGACGACCCCGATGACTGCAGCCTCATCAGCGGGCCTCCCTCGCAGTACTTCAACGTCAACCCCAGCGACACCCAGGATGCCTTCCTGACTGCTTGATTATATGGTGGGGGCAGCTCATTATTGCCCCATAAACACCTCTAAGAAGAAACAGTAGGCTTCGTTCTGTGCTTTGTAGATTGTATTTCTTATTTCATGTACACTGGGTGGGCCTTGCCAAGCTCCCCCATGGGTAGGGAAGGATAATAAAGCAGGCATAATTGTCTTGTTACCTATCACTTGTAATGGTAGGAGTTGCTGTAATATACCGTACCTACTTTCAGAACCTAAGACACCAGCCAACTGTAGATTTACAAATGCGTTAAAGCGAGAGACTAGGTAATAGTTGTCAAATGTAACTTAGGTCGATACCGTAGACCATACTGGATTGTGTCTTAGAGGGTACAACACCCTAGTCTATATACCCTTGTACTCACACATTCTAGTCCAATTATTATTTTTGATATGGTATCATAGTAGGTTAGGTTCCCCCTTAGCCCGCCCACGCTTCCGCCCCCTAGGCCCTAGCCACCGTTGTGCCCCGCTCCTAGCCGGCCCTCCTGGCCGTCGCGCTCGTCCCTAGCCGGCCCCCTGGCTGTCGCGTCCGCCCCTAGCCGGCCCCCTGGCCGTCGCGTCCGTCCCTAGCCGGCCCCTTGGCCGTCGTGCCCGTCCCTAGCCGGCCCCCTGGCCGTCGCGTCCGCCCCTAGCCGGCCCCTTGGCCGTCGCGCCCGTCCCTAGCCGGCCCCCTGGCCGTCGCGTCCGCCCCTAGCCGGCCCCCTGGCCGTCGCGCCTGTCCCTAGCCGGCCCCCTGGCCGTCGCGTCTGCCCCTAGCCGGCCCCTTGGCCGTCGCGCCCGTCCCTAGCCGCCCCCCCCTGGCCATCGCGCTCGTCCCTAGCTGCCCCCCCCCCCCCCCCTGGCCGTCGCGCCCGTTTCCAGCCGTCTCACGGCCGCCCCCTCGCCGTCGCGGCCGCCCCTAGCTGCTGTCGCTGCCGTCTCCAGCCGCCTCACGGTCACTCCTGCCGTCGCGGCCGCCCCTAGCCGCCGTCGCGGCTGTCCCTGGCCGACGTCGCGGCCGTGTCTCCTCGCCGTCGTGGCTGGCCCTACTCGCCGTCGTGCCAGCTCCTCGCCGGCCCCCGTTGCCGCCGTTTGCTGGCCCCTCACGTCTGCCGTCCGCCAGCCGGCTCCTGCATTCGCGTCGTCGCCAGCCCGCCGCCGCCTCGGGTTCGGCCCGTTCCTCCCGATCAGCACTGCCCTGCGAACCCCCCCAGTACCGTACTAGACCGCCTTGCACCGCATTGTACCGCACTGCACCGCACTGCATCGCAGTGCATCGCACCGCACCGCACTGCACTGTACCGCACTGCGCCGCACTGCACCGCACTGTACTGCTTTCCACTGCCCTCTATTGTCACTGATGGCGGAGGTGCTTCGCTTTGACGGTGAGGGACAGCCGATTGAGTTTGATGCGTGGCTTGCTGACCTCCGTCGCCACCTCACTGGTCAGCGGCAGGATGGCCACTCTCTGTCTGTCCATCTTGACGGTACTCTCCCCTGCCCTGACCCCCCCGCTGCACTGTCTACTGATCCCTCGTCCGCTGAGCGTGAGTCCGCTGCGGCCGCTGCCCTTGCTCGCTCTGTCTGGCTGTCCCGTGACGCTGTCGCACAGCTTGCCATTAGCAATGCCCTTCCCCCTGTCCGAGCGACCTCGCTTCAGGTCTATCACTTCTGCCCATGCTTTCCTAGATGCTGTTGTCCAGCGCTATTCCACCCTGCCTGCTGCCTCGGCCGGTCGTCAAATTCTCCCCCTGCTCTTCCCTGACATTGCGTCGTTCCCCACTGTCGCCGACCTGGCCGCTCACCTGCGCACTATAGACGAGACCTGGCGTGCTGCCTGCACTCCCACACAGCTTCTAGCCCACCAGCCGCCCCTCACCTCTACTCTCTACCTGCTAGCCACCCGCCTCCCTGACCGTCTTGTCACTGCCCGTGACCACTTCCTTAGCGTCCACCCAGCAGACCTCACCCTCACTGACTTTGTTGACACCCTGTCCGCTATACAGGCCCGCCACCGCTCTATCGCTCAGACCAGCGGTACTGTGCTGGTCCCTATCTTTCAGGGTTGCGCCCCCGCTCAGTGCACCTTCTCTGACGGTTCTGTTGCTGTGGCTGAGACTGCCGCTGTTGCACAGGTCCGTCTGGAGAAGGGTCGCCGCCCCAAGGCTGGGCGTGGCAGCGAGGGTGGGGGTGCAGGTGTAGGTGGTGCTGGATCTGGGTCTCCTGGTGGTTGTGCGGACGAGGGGACCCTGCCAGGTGCAGCCGAGCAGCCGTCTCAGCAGCCGCCGGCGTTGCAGCCGGACTCGCGTCAGCCGCAGCAGCCGCATCAGTCGCAGCCGTAGCAGAGACGGGCGACTGGTCTCCCGCCAGGGTGGCCTGGCGCTGGTGGTAGCGCTGGACGTGGTGGTGGTGCGCGTGGTGGGCTGCCGGGTGGTGGTTAGGGTGACGCGCGCTGTCAGTACCTGCTCCAGACCGGTCCTCGCCATGGCTTCGTTTGCGGTAAGATCGGTCACACCTCCGTCCGCTGTTTCCGTCGCCTGGACGACCTGTTTCGTCAGCGTTTCGGCCCGTCGCCCGAGCTCCCAGACTGGCACAGTTTGCTTCGTCGTAGGGTTCAGATTTTTTATCTGGATATGGATGAGATTGTCACTGCTCTGCATCTGATGTATGCTGATGACTCTAGTGTGCTTCCGTCTTATTATCCATTGTTGCCTAGTGTAGGTGTGCCTTGCTTAGACTCCCCTGCTGCGTCAGGCGTAGGATCCCCTGCTTTGTTTAGCCTTGGTGCTTCTGTCGCTGCTTCGCCTCCGGCCGCCACTGCCGCGCTCTCCTTCACCCTCGACTCTGGCGCTTCCCGGTGCTTCTTCCACGACTCCACCATGTTGACACCGCTTCCTGTTCCTGCCGCAGTCTCTCTTGCTGACCCCTCCTCCGGCCCTATAGTCGCCCGCAGTTCCACCACCCTCCCCTGCCCGGCGGTTCCTTCGGGCTCGCTCACAGGACTGCACATCCCCTCGTTCTCCAGGAACCTAGTTGGTGTCGGCTGCCTTCAGGACCTTGGCGTCACCACTACGTTCCCTGGACATGAGCGGTATGCTGTCTGTACCGAGGCCGCCACTGGTGCCCCCCTGTCCACGTTCCCACGGGACCCGGTGTCCGATCTTTTCATACTGGACACGGTGACCCCCCCGGCTGGGACCCCCCCTCAGGTGACTGCGTCTCCCCCGGTTGCTGCTGCCTGCTCCTGTCGGTCTCTCACTCACCCGACACTTCTCTGGCACCACCGCCTGGGTCACCCTGCGTTCCTGCGTCTACGTCACATGTCACAGCACGGTCACGTCCTAGGCCTCCCCAGGTCGTTCCCCGAGTTTCCCTCCTCCCCAGCCCCACCTTGCACGCCCTGTGTCGAGGGCCGGCTCCGCCGTGCCCCTCACTCCTCCTCGTTTCCCCCTACTGCAGCACCGCTACAGACTCTGCTCATGGAAGTATGGGGCCCCGCCCCCGTCCATGGGCCGCGTCGAGAGCGCTACTTCCTAGTTCTTGTCGACGACTACACGCGCTACACCACTGTGTTCCCCTTGGAGCGGAAGGCCGACGTGCCTGCCGTTCTTACAGTGGCGGAAACAATTGTCCACATGTTTAGCATATTTTTACATTTTGACGAGCTGTACGCTATAAACTTTAAGCCTTAATTCATGGTGGCCATACACGTAGAGACGAGCAGTTAGAGCACTCACTCAAATCTCCTAAACCTAGAGTAGTATATTTCATGGTCCTTCAAGATGACAACATTTAATAACAGCACATCCGGATAATAGCATGATTCTAATAGTGCAAGGATGCACTGTCAACCGTGCTATGTTACTAAATGTCCATGAAATATACTACTCTGGTTTTAGGAGATTTGCGTGAGTGCTCTAACTGCTCCTCTCTACGTGTATGGCCACCATGAATTAAGGCTTAATGTTTATAGCGTACAGCTCGTCAAAATGTAAAAATATGCTAAACATGTGGACAATTGTTTCCGCCACTGTATCCCGTGGCTTGCCTCTGCGCGTGTCCACCGCGGTCTCCCTGTCTTGCGTCTCCACTCTGACCGTGGTGGCGAGTTTGCCTCTGGTGTCCTTGGTCGTTTCAGTCGTGCGGAGGGCATCACCCAGACGTTCACCTTGCCGGACTCCCCGCATTAGAATGGGGTCGCTGAGCGACGCATCGGTTTGGTCATGGAGGTGGCTCGCACCTCCATGATCCATGCCGGGGCACCCCATTTTCTGTAGCCGTTCGCCGTTCGCTACGCCGCTCACCAGTTTAACCTGTGGCCGCACCCCCAGCAGACTAAGGTTTCGCCAACCCTCCTCTGGTCTGGGTCACCTGGTGACGCATCTGCGTTCCACGTTTGGGGCTGCCTTGCTCACGTTCGTGCCTCTGGCACGGACAAGCTCACTACCCGCACCCTTCCCTGTGTCTTCCTCCGCTTCCCCCTTGATGCGTATGACTGGCACTTCTACCACCCGACGTCTCACCGGTTGTTTCACTCTCGCGACGTCACCTTTGACGAGCCCGTCTCCTTCTTCTACAGCTTCCCCCACCGATGTCCCCCGGTTACCCCCCTCCTGTTCCTGGTCACCCCTTCCCCGGTCGTCGCCGCCCCTCCTCCCCCTCCCCGTCCTGCCCCCTCTGGTGTGTCCGACGTCACCCCACTTACGTCGGTTGTCCCGGTTGAGAAGTCTGCTGAATCTGGTGGTCCTGCGGCGCGGTACTCGCCGCGTGCCCCTTCTCAGGTGTCTCCTCCTCCGCCGCCTCCGCAGCCGCCGTCCCCACCGCTGTCGCAGCCGTCATCACCGCCGCCGCCGCCGCCGCAGCCGTCGTTGCAGCCGCCGCCGCCGCAGCCGTCGCCGCAACAGTTCGTTGCCTCTGGGGGTGCTGGAGTTGGGGTGGGTACTAGTCCTCGGACTCCTGTCGTGGCTTGTTCCGGCGGGCCTAGGGGTGGTATCGGTGCTCGAGGGGTTCTGAGCTCTGGGGGTGTTCCTTCTGGGGGTGCTTGCATGGAGTGTTCTGGAGGTAGCCACCAGGCAGCTTGCGGTCCCGGTGTCGGTGTCACACCGCCGCCGCAGCAGTCCCCGCCGGTGTCCGCTCTTCGCCTGCTCGGCCTTCCGTCCCCTGACCCCGTGCCTGTGCCTCCTCCTCCTCCTATCTACGGCCCTGTGTTCCCTCCT